AAGGAAGTTTTGCTCATAAATGTGGTGTGGCCCGCACTAGTACTAACATGGAGTGCGTTGCCTACGATCGTTTTGGCGTTATTTTGTCAAAAATTTGACACAGACCGTGTTAGATGTAATACGACTCGCGTTACTTTTAAGAATTTTATTTAAAACTAGTTGGGCTTTTATGGTTTTGTTTAAGCTTTGTTGACCTATTTAATTGGACGTTTATTTTATTTTCAAACTGTTATTTTGGGTTTCTAATAAGGCAGATAAAGATTCTTCTTTCTTATTCTTGATTACTAGCTTCAAGATTTGTGATTGAGTCGCTGGTATCTCGTTTGATTTATCAAACCCATTTACTACCCGTGATTGTGGTATCTTCTACTCGTTTCAAGGTTTCTTAGCCAGGTTTGGATTGGTTTATGAGTTCTTCATGGGATTGACACTACTCCTAGGTTTGATTCACGAGTTGTTAAGGGGTTTTATAACTTGTATTGACTATCCTTTCACCCTAATTAAAAATTTTTCGAGTTCAGGATCATATCATTTGGTATGAGAGTTCGGTTATCAAATTAGGGTCTTTCTATCTACTAGTTTTATCTTTGTTTTTTATACCCTATTCGTTGCAGGATTTACTTCGAAAACCAATTAGGGTTTCGAAATTCTATCTTGTTCTTCGTTTAAAGTTTATAAATTTTCTTTTTATTTTCATTTTATCTGATTTTCATTCTATTTTCATGGGTTTTGTGTTCTAGATTAGTTTTGTGTTCTAGATTAAAAAAATCGGGATTTGGATACTGACATATCTAGATCTTGCTTAGTATTTTGGAGTTTGTATTAGTCGTTCATAGACATTTAGATGAATTGTTTGACTTGTCAATAGGATTGCTAGAGATTTTGAACTTTAGTTTGTTATTAGTGCAAATAAGACTTGGCAAGGAGAATCCTGGTGAATTGAGAGAAACACGAGCAAGAAACACTTATGAGAGACGGGAGATTCTTGTGAATGTGAAAGTCATAATGCGGATCGTAGATCGACACGATCTGAGGTGAAAGGGCAACACCCATATTGCGTCACGTCGGTGGGAGGAGGAGGAGGAACCAACGCTTCCACAACTGTTCGATCAAACGATGAAGCGGATGGAATCATGGTTTGACTAGATGAATAAGCGGCTGACATGGTATGAGGAGCGTTCTAGAGTTTGTCAGAGGATGCATAGCTTGAAGGCGAGAGATCTCATTGTGGAGGAGTACTACGATGTGATGGATGCATTGGTGAGTCGAGCAGAAGCGATTGAGGATGATGAAGCTACTGTTGCCAGATTCATCGATGGGTTAGATCTAGCCATTCGAATACGCATGGAGCCCTATGTCTATATTGAATTGTGGGGGCTACTTCCTTACACTATCCGAGTAGAATGATGGCTTACGAGAAAGAGTCTCACCACGACAGTTTACTTACAGAGAGCGGCATGAGGAGAGACCATGCAGTGTTTTTAGTCGAGAAACAATGGCTAAATCACCCATGTCGGGCTGCGAGGTACTACCTTGGATATACCTATCACTTTTTTTTGTTATTGATACAGGTTTAGCCGAGACAGTGGTAACGGCAAGAGAGACCACTGTAGTGCACCCCACACCCTATGGAGTGCATTACGTAGAGGAGACCACTGTGGTGAGTGAGGCCACACATGTGGTCAAGATGATCAGTGCAACTATATGTATAGAGGCTACCGGTGAGAAAGTGAAGAGCCAGTGGTTGTTGTACAGGGGAAGCATGAGTCTGAGCCTGGTACAGACACAGAGGAACCTATAGAGAAATAGACAATCCCAAGGAGATGTTTCTACTGTGGTAAGATTAGACACATTAGAACCAGATGCTTTTATCTAAAGGACCATTTTTCAGGTAAGTATCAGTATCATTATTACTAAAAATGGGTCGTTCAACGATGGGTAAGATGTTCTGATCTATACTACAATGTTGCATATAATTATGTTCAGACTAATCAAGGTCTGATAACAAGGTCTACCTCTTGTCAAGTACCCGAAGTCCGGTCTGGTCCATCATGAAAAATAGCGGGCTTCAGGCCTAAATATCTCGGTCCGAAATTTTTTAGGTTTTCGGTCGGGTTCAAATCAGATTTTTAGGGTTGTCCCGAAAGCCTGAATTTTTTTTTTCAAAAAACAAATTTAGCGGGTGAATCGGTTCGAATCCAAGCCCAAACCCAAATCCCAAGTCTATAGGGTCGAATTTCGGGTTTGGTTATTAAAGTCCGAAAAAAATAGGATCGGTCGGAGCCTGAATCCAAAACTCTCGGATCGAGTGTGGCCTTAGATTTAGTCACCCCCATTGACATCCCTAGATACTAGTGATTATGTTTTATCATGTATGCTCTTAATAATTTTAGTCAAAACTCGTTCATATTTAATATGATCTCACATATAAATGATATCGCAACATATTTTAAAATCAGCTGACTGATTTTCTATTGATTTTCTAGAAAATTAAAAGATAATGTTGACTAATTAAAGTTTAGATAAAATCAAATCAAGAAGGAATTTTGTTCGACTATATCTCTCAGAAGATTTGTAATAAAAAAAAACTTATGGATCTTATTTTTCATTCAAACCTAAGATCTCTTGTAAACTAAATGAGAGGGTTAAGTCTAATTTAGAAAAATTTTAGGTAGTTCCATCTGAAGAGAACCAAAGTTTCAAGTGACACACAGAGCGAGAAGATGTAGGAAAACAAGGGAGTTTGAGCTGTCAAGTCCAATGTTGTTTCAACAACATGTGTTGCTTTTTTACTACTACTCACATAAACTGAACAAAGGGTCGAGCAGATTTGGATCTTCAGAAGGGTTTAGTGCAGACTTCAGTGCCTTGTTCCTTTACTTTCTGACTCAGACTAATGATGTTCTTATGTTTGATTATTGTTCATGTGAGCAGCGAGTTAAAAAAAAAAAGGGGGAGATTGTTAGGTTTATTACATGGAAATTATAAGTTTATGGTGGTTGCAGAAAAATCTATGAGGTTGTAAAAAAAAATCCTTACAGAAATTCTGTAAGAAAATTAGGAACTGCGTTCAGATTTCTCACGTCGTCAGGTATGCCATGGCGGCGTGTCCAGCCAAAGAGGTACGCATGGTGTTATCATCATTGTTTATTATTTCTCGGATCCTATGACCAACCGAACTCTAACTGCCTTGGTTTCTGATTTTGGATACGAAACCAACAATCTCCAGACACATTACATGTTCTTGTGCGAACTCAGAGGCGTTAGATTCATACCCAAATAGAATTATAAAAACCCCAACAGGATCGTCTCGAACTTTATAGAAGACAAACAAGAACAAGAACCAAAAAAAAAGTTGATAGTGATTACACTACGTACCATTGGGTCGGAGGAGATCTTACACCCACCTTGAAGGAGAGATGAAATCGACTTTGTTTGAGAGAGAGAGAGATAGAGAGAGAGGGAGAGAGAGAGAGAGAGAGAGAGACGCTTTGAATTCATAATCCAAACGGGAAAAAGGGGGTACCAACTCTGTGTTCTAGACAGGAAACAAAAGTGTTCTATGATTCAGCTTTTTTTGAAATTTCAGATTATTTACGGATTGGCCTGAGAAAAATTGCAAATCGATCCCTGAATTTTTTATAATATCAATTCTCCATTTTTTTTTTTTTTTTTTTTTTTGCTAAACCAAACTTTTTTTCTTCTTCGGGGATTCTTATGGAGTCAGAGACAGAGCAAGACCAAGGACACAGAGGAGGAACACGCACATGGGCGGACCCATCTAGCCGCAATTACATCTGATACAAAAAAGAAAAACCAACTGTTAAAATGTTTTAATCAATATTCTCCGAATTTACCAGGAAGAAGAGAGGATTCCATGTCGGGTCTTCCGACAAGATCTCCATTGTTGGACACTGAAGCTCGAGATGTTACGACAAGGGGAAGATGGGTTCGAGAGTTTGTCGATGTCGGAGAAGCGAAGAGACAGATCGTGCAACTCCCTGCCGATGATGCTCATCAATGTCTCGTACTATTGCATCCCTATGGCCTCTGTCATCTTCGCCGGAGCAACTCTCGCTAATTCTTGGGCCACCGTCACCGGTTTCGCTTCCATGGTACGACAGACGCTTCGTTCTTCAAGCTTGTCTCTGTTCTTTCGTTTCTGTTGATTTGAAGTTTTGAGACATTAGGGTTCAGTAGGTAACGATGAATTTCAACCCACATGGATAAACCAACCTATATTGCCAGAGCGAATTGAGGAATCGGCTCTATTCATTAAAAAAAAAAAGTTTCGAACTTTATATGAACTGATGATTCTCAGTATCTGAAAATTACCGATCTTTGAATGTTCGGAGAAAAAAAGATGTAACTTTGAGAAAAATTATCAGATGGGCATTTCAATAGTTGATAGACCGGGTTGAGTGGTGCACTCGAGACGCTTTGTGGGTATTCATCTGCAATCATCTTGCATCGTATCCTTCTTATTCTCCATCATCATCATCTCAGTTTCCTGGTTCTTCACGGAATCAGTTCTCAAATTCCTTCGACAAGATCCTCTTATTTCACGACAAGTCCCGGGTTTGCTTGCTTATGGGTTCTTATGGAACATACTGAGGTTTTTTCAGACAGTCTGTTGGGACGCCATTGATCGTCTCCTCGTTGGTTCCCTTACTGATTCATATTGGAATTGTGGATGTTCTGGTTCACATGGCTGCTGCTCTTGGATTCGAATGGGCTTCCCTGGCCTCGGACATTTCGTTCCGGATATCGTTCCTCTTGCTCGGAATCTAAATTGAAATTATCTAGCGGTTCTGTTATGTACTTGCAAACAGAACAATGCATCATCTCTTGCCTGTTAGAATCTAATCTATCCATCCACTTGTTCCTTCTCTTGTCTCTGAAATGTCAAGATTCATCGTTGAGATGTAACAACGCTCTCTGGTGTTGCAGCACACACGGGTTTCCAACGAGATGGGAGCAAGGAAATTCAGACATGATCATATTTCAAAATATGGCATAATGATATAAATACTGAATTTCACAACTGAAACTCACCCTTCAAAACCCATAATATGCTACATAGCCATAACGTTGGATACACATAAAACTTACGAAACACCTTCACACAGGATCTAAGCAAGAACCTGAAAGAAACATACCACAACATAAAAATATGTTCTTCTTACATCACCTCTTTCACCATTTTTTAAACATGACCTTGCTCGGTAGCAGCCATTGACGGCGAAAGCGAGCTCCTCGACTCATCGTAATCATCTCCGACCGGTGACTGCTCAACCCTTAACTCCTCCACCATCTTCACAACCTCCGCCATCGTCGGCCGCTTCTCAGGCTGTGGCATTACACAGGACAATCCAATATGTAACATTGTAACCATCTCGTCTTCTATGTTCTTGTACCTAAGCAATTCCGGGTCGAACACTTCGGCTGTCCACTCCTCCTTCACTACGGACCTTACCCACTTGGCGAGATCGACCGCAGATTCCTCCTCCTCCTCCTCCACAGCCACTGCCGCCGTGGATCTTGGCCGTGATGGGGACGGGTACAGCGAGGGGGCTTTTCCGGTGAGGACCTCGAGGATTAAGACCCCGAAGCTGTAGACATCGGATTTCTGGGAGAGATGTTTGATCTCGGATTGCTCGGGGGCTCGATAGCCGCCGAGACGGGAGATGGCGTGGACGGGGTTGAGGAGGAGGGAGAGGCCGAAGTCGGAGATCAGTGTGACGCCATTTTTGTCGAGGAGGACGTTCGATGACTTGATGTTGCCGTGTGGGATCTTGGATATGCTGTACTCGTCGTGGATCTTGGCTAAGCCTCTTGCTGCTCCTAGGATCAAACCGATTCTTGTTGTCCAATCCAGTGGGATCCTTCCCGGTCCTCGATTCCCTGATTATGTATATACGGGACAAATGGTCAATACCCAGATGATTGGATGGGTAAAGAAAGTGACCCGTTTGTTAAAAATTTGGAATTTACTTCAATCATTATGAAAACATGGATGATAAATGACCAAGAAGGATGAAATAAAGCACCCATCTGATCAAATTGCAACTGGCCGCCATTGACGTCTGAGTTTGAAGTGTGAAACCTCAAAATTTTACATTGGGACAAAACGCATAAACAGATGAAAAATGCAAATTTGACATGAACCCAGATGATGAAACGAAGAGATAAACCCACCCATTGGATCATTGTAATACGAAATTCACAATTATCCCAAACAATTTCCAGCTCAGAAACGTCGAATTTCCAAAAGTATCCGTAGTTGGAGAAAGAGAAGGTGAGAGACGAACCGTGAAGAAGGGAGTGCAAGCTTCCATTGGGAAGGTAATCATAAACAAGAAGCTTCTCTTCCTTAGCGTAATAATAAGCTCTGAGTTTCACGACATTGGGGTGCTTGAGCCTCCCGATGATCTCCATGTACTGCTCGAACTCTTTCCTCGGGCATGGGTTCGCGTCCTTGAGTCTCTTCACCGCAACAATGGAGCCGTCGTCAAGCACCGCCTTGTACACCGTCCCCAAGCTCCCTTTCCCCAGCATCTCCGCCGAAGCTCGCAACAGATCCTCGAGCTCGAACTGTGTCCTCCTTTCGAAGAACACAAGCCTGCTCCTGTCGGTTGCCGTTGTACCGTCGCTCTCCTCTCCTCCGCCGTAGCTGCTTCGCCTCTTCAGAACACAAGCCTGCTCCTGTCGGTTGCCGTTGTACCGTCGCTCTCCTCTCCTCCGCCGTAGCTGCTTCGCCTCTTCCCTCCTCCCCCGCCGCCCCCGCTCTCGATGCTCGCTGCCTTGGAACCGTCGGCGAAGCTGCTGCTGCTGCCGTCTCGTCTTCCGCAGCAGAACGCAAAGGTGAAGGATGAAACGATGAGCACCGCAACGCATCCTCCGATCAGGGCGGCGATCGCGCCTGGAGTTAGCGCTGGGTGGCGTTCGGTATTCCTGGATTTTCCGGCGGAGACCGGCGAAACCGAGGTTGGGTTGGACGGGATTGTCTGATCTGTGTCGGAAGATTCCGGGTCACTGGTAAAAGGGCAGGCAGGTAACGGACCCGACCCGCAAAGCCCTTCGTTTCCGGCGAAGCTGTGGTCACCGAAGCTCTTCATCACGCCGTCGGGGACTCGTCCGTACAGCTCGTTGTACGAGACGTTGAGCTCTAACAGCGATCTGATCTGGGAGAAATCCAGAATCCGACCCGTTAACACGTTGCTCTGGACCCGGATCGTCAGAACCCGGGTCAACCCGAGAATCTCCGTGGGGATCACGCCGCGGATGTTGTTGTCTGAGAGATCGAGACGAATCAGATGCTTGAGGGTTGATATCTCCGGAGGGATCTCGCCGGAGAGATCGTTACCGGAGAGATAAACGAGCCTGAGGTTGGTACAGTTGGTGAGTGGCAAAACAGTGCCGTTGAGGCGGTTGTCATGGACGTCGAGGAGGCGAAGCTGGTCGAGGAGAGAAAGAGAGAGAAGTGGGCCGCGAAGAGAGAGCGACGGGAGAGAGAGGGACGTGACGCGGCGGGAAAACGGCGAGCAGACAACGCCGCGCCACGCGGCGGAGCAAGCATCGGCGCCTGTCCAGTTCCCGGCGAGGTTGCCATGGGTGTCGGTGTGGAGGCGGAAGAGGGTAAGAGCGTGCGTGTCATTCCCCTGGAGAGAGGATGCGAAGGAGACGAAGATAAGTGGAAAGAGAAGAAGACGAAGAAGAAGGGGGAGAGATTTGGCCATGGCGGAAGGCGGGAAGAAGAGTGAGTGTGAAGAGAGATTTGGGTATTTTTCAAAAGCATAAATAAATTGCTAATAACGACAAAAGAATGTTTTATTTTTTTTCTTTCTTTTTTCATTTGCGTTATGCGTTCCATGCAGAGTTCATTGAGAAACAGCAAAGCAGACGATGGAAGGTAAACGTACAATAATACAGTATAACGGCAAAAACAAATGGAGATTAATATACATTTCAGTTGGCAAATGTTTTCATAAATATTGCTAGTTTGAGGACAGGAAAAATAGATAGATAGATTTTATTTGTACAATTCGATCATACTAATAGAAGATAATAATGAATTTGTAACTAAAATTTTCAACAAGAAAATTCCAAGTGGGAAATTTTTTAAACTTTAATGTTAAACGGTAAACTATATATGATTTTTTTTTATATATATAAATCATCCCTTTTATGTATAGATAAAAATAGTAATATAAATTATTTAAATAATATTTCTTGTATATTTTTCCTTAATTATAGAAGGATTATTTGTATTTTTTTAGCCTTTTACACCAACTTCAATCTATTGTACAACTTTCAATCAAGCATGGGGTCAATAGGAAAAAAGTCCATGATGTGTTTTTTTTCCCTTCTATTCGACGACCCATGATTATATAAGCGAAAGATTTAACACTTGATAACCTTGATAAAGGGCCGAGTTCCATAATTTTATTCTTTAATAATATTTCTCTTTTGATTTCTTTTTTCCAAATAATTTAATATTTTTAGTTTTGCATAATGTGCCTCATAAATTATACATCTTCCTTTATTATGAACAATCTTATAGCATTTAATGGATTACAATAACACTCTTTTTAAACTGTATAAGCATATAGCGACGATCCTTACAATTTCACGTTAACATTTTTAAAAGTTTTAGATCATTAAGTCTAAAAATTCTCGAAATTGAATGTTTAACTCTAAAATTTTTTGAATTGTTTAACTCTAAAATATGTCTAAAATGATGTTAGTAATAAAGTGTAGAGGATCTGGACCTCGATCCCTCACCGATCTCTCCGAATCACTCCGATTTGAGCAAGAACAGAAAGAGAGACGAGACAGCGATGCACGAGTTCAGTACCGAGCTCTAACGCTCGGTACCTACGTCTCGGAAAGAGGAACAACGATTATTAGGGTTTACAACAGAGATAGCCGCCGGAAAGCGGTGCCGACTCACGGAGAACGAAAGTGTCTCCGCCAAAAGGGAGAGAACCGAAAAACACAGCAAAAAACCGAGAGAGATACAAAATGGGAGAAACCCTAATCTCATAATCTCCAACGTTGGCATTTTACCAAAATGCCCCTCCGCGTTTTGGAATCCTCTGACCGAAACCGAAGTTTCGAAACCTTCTTCTTCGCTCAGAGACTTTGCTGAAACTCAACATATAAAGCTATGGAATAAGAGTAGGTCCATATTTGGATATAATAAAATTTTGGAATTTTTGCATTTTAAATGTGAACTAAATTTTTTAGGAAGTTCTATCGGGAAGTAAGTTTGAATATCAAATTTGTAAAATTGTGTTATGGTAATTTCGTTAGTCGTTTAATAACGATTTTATAGATAGATTTAAGATTTAATGGTAATTCTATATATAAATTTGATAATGATTCTATAAACAAATTAGAAGGTATTCTGATTATAATTTTGAAAATAGATTTGATGATAGTTTTGATAAATATCTATAGAAATTAAAGATATAATTGAAACAATCGATACATGATTTATAAAAAAAGAAAAGAAACAATCGATACATGATCAGATATATACACGCAAGAATTTTAAAGATTAAAATTCCTAAACAACCCATATCCAAATTCCATTCAAATTATTCAAATATCCAAATTTAAAAACAAATTGAGTAATTTGTCAACTTTAGAAAGATGTAAACGGGGAAAAAGGAAAATGATGGCAAATGATTAGGCACATGGAAAAAAACACAGTAAAAAAAGTGGAAAATGGAAATGGTGGTTGTGTGAATGATTGATTGATGGCCATGGATGATGAACATTACCCATCTTTCTTTTTTTTGTTAAAAAAATTTACCCATTTTCATAATGCACTTTTGTCCCTTTTATATTTTTTTTCATTTCTCCCCCATAAAACTTTGAGTAAGTTTGAATGTTGTTATAAAAATGTTGACAAGAATAGCTTTTGATGTCTCCACCACTATTATATGATCGTGTAATTCACTTGTATTATGAGACAATAAACTTGATTCTCTATGTAAATCTATTTGAGATATTCCATTGTGATAGATCTAAATTGAAATTATCTAAGTAATATTAGTATCAACAGAATCTTTATTTCATAAATATCATAATATTGAATTTGAAGCACGGGTTCCAACCGTTTTATACAATAGAATAAGTTTTAACATTACATGAGGACAAATTGTAGAGTGATTATTATTATTTTATCATTGAGTGTGTGGGTGTGTATACTAGATGTGACAGCTCAGGATACCGTAGGAGGGCGAGGACTGATCGCCGGTGCAAGAGGCATGGACAATGGGCGGTTCCTGACGAGCTTCTGGGTAGGGGTACAGGGATGAAGCGGACGCACCAGAATAAGAGGGATCTGAGGGCTGTGTAGGTATGGGACTACGCAGTCTAAGATAATTTAAAAAAATTAATTGAGCTACTCATAGAAACAAGATGCATCTACCTTTTCGGTTGCCCATCTCGAGAGAACTCCAAAATTAAGCGTGCTGACCTTGGAGTAGTCTTAGGATGGGTGACCTCCTGGGAAGTACTTTCTGGGATGTATGCGAGTGAGGACAAAACACGCTAAAAGGTCCCGTGTTGGTGTGTGGGGACAGCTCTATCATTCCGTTGCAGCCTCGGGTCGTTACACTATATATTCAAAACTAGTTTCAAATTTAAAATTCTCTTTAGTATTATATCAGATTATGAAACAATTATCCTTACTGATTTTTTAAACAAATAACGATAAAAAAAGATTATATATATACTTTTACCAGGAAATTTTAATATAAAAAAATTCAAATCGAATATAAAATATAAGAGTATATATTGGCTCAGTATAAAGATATATATACCAAATATTTTTAAAAGGAGACGATTAAATATTTTTTGCTGAATTATGTGTAATTTAACGAGAATCTATAATATTTATATGTTTTATGAATAAACAGTTCAAAACATTTATCATTATTTTAATTTATGCAAATTAAACAATAATTTGGCATGTGTAACGGTGGTCTCACGTCGAATCGACAAAGGGTAATCGTGCAGCTCAATTATAAAAATGTGATTATTTAGATAATATCAAATGACGTGCAACTTACGCATCCATTTTGTAACATTCAAGAAATATTTGTTATTTATTATTTTTAAATTCAAATAATAAAAAAATGTGTAGTATCAAAAGTTTACAAAATCTTTTATTAACAAAAAATATTGCCTTGTTTTATTTCTAAAATTTATGATAGTGCAAAAGTCCAACATGTTATCCATTGGTTTCAATATAACTTTTGATATTTGTAATTATAGGTCGATGTTTCAAATTCTTTAGATAAAATTGAACCAAATAAAATTAGTTATCAAATAATAACAAAAATATTGAATGGAAGTTATTCTGAAACTTTTAAAAAGATATTATTCAAAAACCAAATTAAAATAAAAATCTAACTAAAAATTCAAATAACTTCTGATGAAAATCAAATTCAAACAAAAAAGAATAAAATCCTAAATAAATCGAAAATCGATATAAAAACCATCTAGGTATAATTTTTTCTACAAATCAAATCTAAAATAAACGATCCGAATATAGGTGAAATGAAACCCTTTGCAATAATATGGCCGATCGTTAATTACATAATATATATATACACACTCCTTATAAATGGCAAATGTACCAAAAAAGAAGCGAAGAACATGAAATTTAAATGGAGGAACGATCGATTGGTAAAAGACAAGACAATGATAACGTTTGTAAAGCATAAGGGACACGACAGAGTCGGTCTTTTCCTTTCTCGTATTACACACACCCTTTTGCTTTTTCCAACCAACCCCCCGACATAACCAACGATTATATATATATATGTTAAAGGACAAATTGGTGGCGCAATTGGCGTTGTGTTTTTTTCTTCTGTTCAATATTTACTTTGTTTCGGATCTGAAAATTTAAATTATGTTTTCAAGGGATTTTTTTTTTCATTCCTCCGGCATGCCTTATGTGTTTTTTGAAAAAAAAAAATCGAATATATAAACCTGTATTACAAATATTTTGGATAGTAAAATTTAAAATTTGATTTAGGATTTTCCAATATCTAAATTGGAAAACTCTCATAAAACCCCCAACTTTTGAAAAAAAAAATCCATTCAAAACTTCAATTATTCGTAAACTTTAACCAACCCTTTAATGTTTAAAAAAATATAAAAAAAAATCTTTAACCATTATAATCATCCACTTAAAACTTCAATAATTAAATAAAGCATACAAATTTAATAAAAATACCAAAAACTAAAACTTTTCTATTAATTTATAAATTTTCAAATTCAATATCAAAATATGAAATTTATATATTTGTAAATCGTTTTATATTTATTGTATGTGAAATTTGAAACTAATACATTTTGGTTGTCAATTTTAATCTTATTAGTTTATCATTTAAAATATCATATATATATATAGTATTACTATTTATTTTTAATGTAATATATTTAGGAATAATAATTTAATAAAAATAATTTTGGTTTATTAATTTTTTGTATTTTATTTTGATTTTTGATGATTTTGATTTTAAATAGTTTAATAAAAAATATTTTAATTTTTTTACTGTTTTATAAAAGATTTAGGGTTTATTTAGATCTGTAGATAATTTAGATTTTAAATTGTTCATTTAGAAAAGTTTAAAGTTTTTTGGATTTTTTTAATCCTATATAAATTTTAAATATCTAAAAATATTTCTGGATCTGATAGATTACTGAATGCAAATTTGATAATTTTGCAAATTTAATAAATATGATGAA